ATCTTGTATAACGAATTAAGATTCCAAGATTCCATTATTAACAGAAAGTGCGTTACAGATCTGGTGGCTCTCGCCTTCTATGGTTTCTTATCACTTGCTACCACTCCCTGTCACCAATCATTTACGGTCCCTTCACATCCTACATCACCTATCACAGTGTCAAGACTTCATCGTTAATACAGGGGAAAATATGGGTCCTGTGGCTTTTGTCTTTTAAGGCTTCTTATCACTTCCCATCAATTGTTGTCACCTCCTACCCCCTACCATCGGTGTTCCCATCCTGTCATCTGTATTCCTTGCAAATTTGATTGTTCTAGGTTCACTGGGACAGGAGTTATGAATTTCCGGTCAGACAAACACACACACAAACACACCAACAGACACACTTAGCCGATTATAAGCAGGATAGGAAAAATTTTTGAGTTGGTTTGGTCTTTCAGGATGCAAAGTTCAGCATTGGCTGGCTACACCCTCGCCTCAGACCTATCGGCCCTCCTACTTCGCCTTGGACATATCGGACAAAATTTGGCTGGTAATAGTCTGGGACAGAGAAATCACTGGGAATTGAAATAGGGATTAATCTAAAAACAAATATGACAACATAAGCGTATTGATCCCTCACATAGCAACAAAGTGAACATCCACAAGGAAAAACTTCCATTCGTGGATCACACGAAGAATGACCTCAGTCAGTTAGTTCTGTTGATGGGCTTAGGGAAAAAATAAGAGAAACTTGTTCTTGAATGTTGAAATAACTACTGGACCTTCTGTTCCTGTTGGTTGGAAGTTGGTTGTCCTGTAGATTCAAAACATCCAGTCTATAGACATGGTCTGTGCTCAGATCTATACGCTTGTGAAAGGTCCTATTCTGGATGCTCCATGCACTTGAGTCCCATATTGTGCTCATGAATGTGTGTGAATATACCATTCACAAGTTTTGAAAGGATGGGATCAGTTTTTCCTTGGATTTTTTTGAATCTCACAAGTTTCTACGGCCTAGTTCTAATGGTAAAGTATAGCTGTGTCTTGCTCGACAAAATTAGCTCCAAGCTATTATGTAAAACTTCACGTCGAGCTGGCTGCTGAAGAAAGATGAAAAAGGAAGGATTCAGCCTTATCCGAGACGTCACTCAAACTTTGAGGAAGTGTACCCAACAGCGGTCTAATTACGGCATTTCTCATGAGCCCCTCTATTTTCCAAAGTTGTACAAGGATCAATGAAAAAAAAATGGAATTTAGCCAAATCGAACTTACAAATCCGTTTGGAGTATGTATATTGCTTCGGAGAATGCACAAGTCAAGAGGTTTAATTACAAGGATAAATAACTTGCATAGGTTTTGTATGTGTTGAAATACCAACCTCCAATTTGTTTATGTTTATGTATTGTTTGTAATCAACACCTTTATTAGATAAATAAAATATGGCACGTCAAAGGAGCTCGAAGGCTAGATGGGTGGTCGATAAAGGCGGGAAAAAGACATGAGCGAGGCGGCTCGAT